TTATTTATTTAGTTAATAAGTAACTAAAGGGTGACGAATTTTGAAAATTGGTAGAAAATTCATGACGGTGTTCAATGACTAATAAACACACACATCTTTGAGCTTTTGAACAGCTTTGACGCCTGACAGCTCTTTTAAAACACTCTCATCTTTCGGAAAAACTATCAAAATCAAACAGAAACTGATACAGGAGCACCAGATCTTGATTGCGGGAATTTTTTGGGTTTCTGACTTACATCATGAACTGCGCATGAACGGGAAGTACGAAATTGCTAAAACGGATGCGAACCTGAAGAACTAATAAACTCTTATTCCTATATAGGAACAAGAGCTTTCTCAACGAATAATAACTGGTCTAATGCATAGGGAAAACCTGAGGATCCCTGGAGCAGTAGGGCTGAGAAGGGGGGGAGGGGAAAGAAAAAGAAATTCGGTACTGTGATTACATCAGTCTAGCTCTGCTACAAAATTCGTCTTGGTCTGATCTAACGAACGAATAAGCCCGCATGAACGACCGGGAGTTCCGGTATTCACAGCGGACCTCTCTGGGTCAGCGGAGGAACAGTGCGTTCGTCTTAGCGAGACATTCGCGGTTGTCCACTCCGGCATAGTGACCATCAAATTCACAAGTACCATTACAGTCGTCAACCCCGGTAACCCTCTATAGCGCTATATTCACAGGAACTTTCCTGCAACCGGTACGGACTAGTCCGCTCGGGTAGCAGGCCTTTTTTTCCGTGCGGTCTCGTCAAGGTGCGTCGTTGACCTCGCAGTGTTGGATCGTGAATTCTCTTGTTGTGCTGCTTGCTTTTTTTGAAATCTCTGTAAATGAAAACTAAAGGGGTTGATATGTGCGAGTTAATGACGCGCCTTATCAACACATTGTGTTGGAATTCACTGCTTGTTTTTTTTTGTGTGTGTGTGTGTGTGTTACACTAGGTGGTTTTAATTTTTTCAAGAAAACCCCCAAAAAACATTTTGCCTTGCAAAAAAACTGCAAAAGAAAAATTTGGAAGAGCTTAGTGAAACTAGAAACATTACTGAATGACACATTTCCAGTGATATGTTACAAGAACGAATTTGACTTTTTAAACAGCGCTGCCATTTTCCGGAATTCATTCCGAAATTTGGAACTTTTCAAATAATCGGAACTTTTCCCGGAGTCTTCTTATCCCCGAAATTTTCAGCTATTTCCGGAATTTTCTCGAAATTCGCGGTTTTTCGCCGGTTCGACCATTTATTTGATCAAATAGGGACTTTTTCATCAAAGTTGATGATCTTCGGAACTAAATCCGGGCGTATTTTGGAATTTTTCCACGGAATTTTCTCGGAACTTTGGCAAATCGGAATATGTTTCCGGAAATCGGAATTATTTCGGAATCTTTTGATAAAATAAAATGGCAGCACTGTTTTTAAATGTAAAACCGCAGAAAGCTTCTTTGAACACATGCTATTTCTCTAAAGGTTCCCGTTTCCTGACTTTCAACATCCATTGATTTCAGGTGGTGGGCACAGCTCTCTCGGTCTTCCTCATGGAGCGGGCCGGTCGTCGCCTCCTCTTCCTGGCCTCCTTCTCCGCCTGCACCCTCTGCGTCTTCGCCCTGGGCCTCTTCTTCTTCCTCAAGGAGCGCGGCCACCCGGTGGCGGGCCCGTGGCAGTGGGTCCCCCTCGGCTCGGTGGGCCTCTTCCTGGTGGTCTACGCCCTGGGCGCGGGGCCCGTGCCGTGGGCCGTCGTCGGCGAGCTCTTCTCCAAGCGGATGGCCGCCCTCGCCATGTCCCTCGTCACCGGCGTCGGGCACTGGGCCTCCGCCTTCGTCGTCACCAAGGCCTTCGCCATGCTCGAGGCCTGGCTCGGCATCGGCGGCACCTTCTGGGTCTTCGTCGGGTTTTGCCTCGTCGGGATCGTCTTCGCATGGGCGCTGCTGCCCGAGACGAAGGGCCGGCCTTTGCAGGAGATCCTCGATGAGCTCGGCGGGAAAAAGAAGGGGGTGAAAAGCGAAACGTGATCCAGCGGGCAGTTTTATTAAATCGATAAATGGACCGCGTTTAAGGTGATTCGATGGAGGCCATGTTTTGTGTCGGAACGGCATGCGATACATCGCATCAATTGGTTACATTTTTTCAGCTACTCGTCATTTTTTTCGAATTTTGAGATCGCACTTCTGTTGTCATAAGACTTAAGAACCCATGTACCAAATTTGACAAAGAAATTCAACGTAATTAAGGCGTGGTTTTTTTAGAGGGAAAATATCGTATTGGATACTGATATCGAAACTACACTCGAATGCGATATTTTTCCTCTGGAAAAACCACGCCTTTATTACGTTGAATTTCTTTGTCAACTTTGGTACATGAGTTCCTCAGTCTCATGACAATGGAAGTGCGATCTCAAAATTTGAAGCAAATGACAAGTAGCTGAAATTATGGAGCTAATCGATGCGATATATCGCACGTCGCTTTGACACCAAAAATGGCCTCCATCGAATCACCTTAAGGTGATTCGACGGACGCCATATTTTGTGTCAGAACGGCATGCGATATATCGCATCGATTGGTTCCATTCTTTCAACTACTCGTCATTTCTTTCCAATTTTGAGATCGCAACTCTGTTGTCAGGAGACTAAAGCACTCTCTTACCAATTTTAACAAAGAAATTCAACGTGATAAAGGCGTGGTTTTTTTAGAGAGAAAATATCGCATTCGAGTGCGGTTTCGATATCGGTATCGAATGCGATGTTTTCTCTCTAAAAAAAAAGCACGCTTTTATTACGTTGAATTTGTTTGTTAAAATTGGTAAGTGAGTGCTTTAGTCTCCTGACAACAGAATTGCGATCTCAAAATTGGAGGAAAATGAAGAGTAGCTGAAAAAATGGAACCAATTGATGCGATATATCGCATACCGTTCTGATACAAAATAAGGCGTCCATCGAATCATCTTAACTAAATCGATTAATGGACCGCGTTTAACCGAAAGAGACCTAGCCACATCAGCTTCTGCCAAAAACTGAACGATTTAATTTTTTACGAGAGGACGTTTGTGCGGATTCCATTGAAAATTTTAAGGAATTTGCTTCGTACTATGGAGAAAATGCACGGAAATTTGCCAGAAAATCTGCACAACTGTTTCAATGTAAAAAATTAAATTGCCCAGTTAAATTTGGCAACAGCTGATGTGGCTTGGTTCCTTTCTGTTTAATGCGGTCCAAATGAAAGTATACAGGGTGACCCAGGATTAAGTGCGAACAATCGAACATGGAACAAGTCGATTCTTTGGGTCAAAAAAGATGTTTTTGTAATGTTTTTTTTTTCTAAAAACGCTTTCCCTGGGGGCCACAAAGTTGGAGAAAAAAATCTTTTAACACCGTGACAATGTTTAATAAATTTGCAATAAAATCACAATTTTATTGACGGCATTTTAATGCAAAACAATTGAACGATGAACTAACTTCGATATGTCGCAGGCAAATAGTAAAATCAGGCATTTTGTCAAATGCCTAGGCAGATAGTCAGATCTTCTTACTTAGATTGAACTCCTGATTCTTTCCGTAATTTTAAACAAAATAATTCATCCCTCATATGCGAAGGAATTCTCTGTAAAAATATGCATCATATATTGAATTTTAAACGATTTTTAGCTTCTGAATGAAAATTTATCTTGTAATTTCTAGTATGTCATAAAATGCAGAATTTTTAAAATGTTAACGTTTAAATATATAAGAGGCATTTGAAGAGGAAGAGACAAGAAGAGTTCGTAGATTTGATGAGTTATTTTTCCCAAAATATTGAAAGCTTAGGAGCTCTTCACCGTAAATTTACAAAATTTTTTAAACCATCAAAATTTGATTATCTGCCTGGGCATTCGGTAAAATGTCTTATTTAACTAATTGCCTGCGACAGATACATTCAAAGACGTAGAATATTTTTCCAAAGCTCTGAATATTTTCTCAATTCGATCTATTTTAAGGGGATTTTCCCTCTAGCAAACATAAGAAAAAACTGGTAAATAAATACTAAAAAATAAGTCGGTAAATGAATCCTAAAAATACGAAACTGCGGATCTCAGTTTGGTGGTTGAGGTTGGAAGAGGCCTGATTTTCGTTACCGCACAAAATTTCGCGGGCATTTTTGTTCTGTCAATTTAGATTCTTCTGAGAACTCGTTTGTGTACTCATGCTTGTGATAGGAGCTCGTAGGAAATAAAACTTTTTGAAAGTATATTAAAGACCAAGTATTATTTTCTCCCCTACGCATTATACTGATATGTGAATGTACATGCTATTTTTTACTAGATCTGCGATGTGGTAGCTAACAAGCCCTGAGGTATATAATTTTCATAATAAACGTTAATTTCAAATAAAAAGTTTTTAACAGCGGAAAATCTTGTTCTATGAATCATTCTAATGTGGGCGATATGGGCGACAAGGTATTTGTCAAAATGATCGAATTAAAAACCTCCCTGCGCAGCTCACACTACTGCCACATTTGGACCGCGGTAAGCAGAAAAGACCCAAGCCACATGAGCTATTGCAAAATTTAATTTTAACATGAAAACGCATAACGACGGTGAAACTACCAAACCACGTATCTCGGTTTGCGACGTCGCAGACTTCCTGTCATACTTTATTTTTTAAATGAAAAACTACTCAACATCCAGTCTTGAAAATTTCTGTGATTTTTCCTCTTCGTGCCGAGAAAATTCCGTGAAAATTTCAAAGAATGATATTGATTTGGTCTACTTCAAAAAAATAAAATGTGAGCGTAGATTTTTAAACACCGAAAACGAGATACGTGGTTTGGTAGTTTCACCGTCGATAAGCGGAATCTTGTGCAAATTTTAAATTTGGGAACAGGTGATGTGGCTTGGTTCCTTCGTGCTAACGCAGTCCATTTCAGAATGACAAATGTGCTTTTATTACAAAAAGGTCTTTTTTCTCTGATGTACATTAGGCTAATTTTAGCCTTAAAATTAACCATGTTATCCGCTGTTCAATTTGTTATCATTGCTTATCTCGTCACGGGCTGCAGAGCATCAAACATATCCCTGCTAAAAATGAACATGTTGGTAACGAAGTTGGTCTGGCCCAACATGGTAGCAACATGGTGAATGGAACCTGATATCAACATGTTATCACCATGATATCAACATGTTACCAATATTATATCACACACTGAAAAAAAACTTCCAAGATGCCAAAATTTAAATTTAGGCGCGCTGCACGTTCTTAGGCTTAATTTTCATCACGGTCACCAGCGAAGTGACGCTGAGAGAACTCGACAATCAATGTTCACCAGAATTAAGGCCTTTCCCCCATCAGTTTTGTGCTGATCCTCATTAGCTCAAAATTTTTAGCTCTGATCGAAAATGTTTGAGCTTTTTGGCTTTGCCCCCCCCCTCCCAAATAGTGTGGGCCCAGCTTTATCACCTTGTTACACAGTTTGGGCCACGTTTTTAGGATTATTCTTCTTTTTTTCTTGATTTTACTTAAAGGAGATGGTCGACAAAATCACAAGTTAAGGGCGGAGCTAATGAACCGCTGTTTCACAGGATTAAATCAAGTTTAGGAACTATTGACGTATGTTTTTAGAAGTAAATTTTATGTTCTCTTCAATGAGCATAATTTTTTTTTTCTCAGATAATCGTGGCTGCAGATATGAAGCAAAGTTTCCCATAAAATCAGCAAAAATGCGCCTTTTTAAAGCTAATTTTTGAAGAAAACGTTAATTTTACGACCCAAAAATTAAGCTAAAAGAAACGAGGGAGGGTGAATTCGGTAAGAAAGAGCATCCCAAAATTTGGCCCCTTTTTAGGTATTCGATTCGACCATCGGACCAAGGTTTAAATGGAAGCTTATATTAACAGAAAACTCAGGAAAAATTTCAAGATGAGTATAGGAACCGTTTTCGAGTTACGGGGGGGCAAAGGGGTCACAATCCGGCCTAATTTTTTGCTGTTTTCTTGTAGAATTGATGTATCGGCGGGGTTCTTACCGTTGTTTACCCATGTGTAGCACATAGATTCCTACGTTTTTTCACACGCAGAATCGATTTTTAACGTTGCCGAATCGATATACTGATCAGTTAAATCGATTTTGAACGATTTATTAAGGAAAATCGATGATTTTTCAGGATCGAAATTGTTTATTTTCGATTCATGAATGAATAAATACATCTGAAATGACTGAAGCACACGTAACCTTATGTATTTTGATACGTAGAATTGATTTTTAACGTTGACAAATCGATTTATCTATCGTTTGTATCGAATTTTTGCGATTTTTTACGGAAAAACGATGACTTTTCGGAATTAAAATCTGGTTTGCTCCATCCGAGATCGGAGATATGTACCCAACATGATTGGAGCACATCGACTCTTACGTATTTTTATACGTGGAATCGATCTATAACCTCGATAAGTCGATATATCGATCAATTGTATCGAATTTTTGCAATTTTTTGCGGAGAATCGATGGTTCATCGGGATTGAGATCGGTGTCTCTCCATCCAAGATCGGAGAAATGTATACCCTTTATGATTGCGGAGCACATCAATTCTTACGTATTTCTACTTCGTATACCGGACCGTTAGTAACCAATTTCATTCCTGTTCAAAAAATCGATTTTCCACAAAAATCACAAGAAATCAATATGACCAGTCAATATATCGACTCGTCGACTTCTTAAAAATTGATTTTGCGAGAATAATCACAAACGAATCGATGTGCTCCAGTCATGTTTGGTAGATGTTACCAATGCCAGTCCAAAAGAACCATCGAATATCCGTAAAAAATCGCAAGAGTTGTGTATGTCAGATCGATGTATCGACTCGTCGACGTTTAAAATTGATTCTACGTGTAGAAATACGTAAGAATTGATGTGCTCCAATCATAAAGGGTACATTTCTCCGATCTTGGATGGAGAGACACCGATCTCAATCCCGATGAACCATCGATTCTCCGCAAAAAATTGCAAAAATTCGATACAATTGTTCGATATATCGACTTATCGAGGTTATAGATCGATTCCACGTATAAAAATACGTAAGAGTCGATGTGCTCCAATCATGTTGGGTACATATCTCCGATCTCGGATGGAGCAAACCCGATTTTAATTCCGAAAAGTCATCGATTTTCCGTAAAAAATCGCAAAAATTCGATA